ACATATGTTCAAAGTCTAAGAGGTAAACTGGGTGCTGGGGGCTCACGCCTATAATCCTAGCTGCTCAGGAGGCTGAGATCTGAGGATCTTAGTTCAAAGTCAGCCTGGGCAGGAAAGTCCGTGAAATTCTCATCTTCAATAAACCACCAGAAAACTGGAAGTGGCACTGTGGATCAAGTGGTAGAGTGCTTGCCTTGAGCTGAATTGCTGAGGGACAGTGCCCAGACCCAAAGTTCAAGCCCCACTCTGACCAAAAAAAAAAAAAAAGTCTAAGAGGCTCTGGCACTCATGGTCTCTTGCCAGAGAGATCACTGATCATTTACTTAATTAAAATGGAGCTTAAGCTGAGGGGGAAAATGGAGGAGGTAAGGAATAATAGTAACACTGAAAATTTAATCAGCCATGTACATAAGTCTAAATAATAATTCAATTTATAAAAACAGCAATTAAATAGCAACCAGGAGATAGAAATCTAATATTAGATGTAACAACTTGGGAAAAAGGGTAAGATTGCAGGTGATGGTTCTCAGGCCTTGTGTTACTAAAGGGAAGGCAGTGACACTGTGTAGCTTGGAACCTCATTGGGTATTCATGCAGACTATGAATATTTAAGTGGTTCTATGACCTTAAGGAGGTCACCACTGTCCCCATTCCTAGTAAGTAAAATATGCAATTTTGAAATCACTGGAGACAAAAATCTTAAAAATGTCCTGCTTAACCTCAAAGAAAGCAGGAAAGAAGAAGCAGCAAAGTAAATAGGAAACACAAAATCAGTTCTAGAAATCTTCATGCTTCGGCTATAACACAGGTAAATAGATTGTGCTTGACATATAAAATATCAAAATTCTCAAACTGGATTAAAATCTTCAATAATGTGAATACAGCTGTGTGCAGTAACAGTGACACAGCAAAAAAACTTCCCTTGGCTGAGTGCCGGTGGCGCAAGCCTGTAATCCTAGCTACACAGGAGGCAGAGATCTGAGGATCAAGGTTTGAAGCCAGCTTGGCTAGAAAGTCTGTGTGACTTTTTTTTTTTTTTTTGGGTCGGTCATGGGGCTTGAACTCTGGGCCTGGGTGCTGTCCCTCAGCTCTTCAGCTCAAGGCGAGCGCTCTACCACTTGAGCTACAGCGCCACTTCTGGTTTTCTGGTGGTTTATTGGAGATGAGTCTCACGGTCTTTCCTGCCCGGGCTGGCTTTGAACCGCGATCCTCAGATCTCAGCCTCCTGAGTAGCTAGGATTCCAGGCGTGAGCCACCAGCGCCCGGCTGTCTGTGTGACTCTTATCTCAAAGTAACCACCAAAAAGCCAGAAGTGAAGGTGTGGCTCAACTAGTAGAGTGCCTGAGTGAGTGTATAGAGAATTATGGACATCGCTGCAGCTCTGATTATTAGGAACGAATAGCTTCCAAGGTCTCCTTGAGGAGCCTGGCTTTGCATGTCTAAATATGGAAATTTAATAACCATACTTGATGTAACCCTCTATCTCTGTCTGTAGAGAGAAAATTAGTCTTGGTGCTTGCAATTTTACAGATATTAGGGGACTGGTGCAAACAACATCGGCTCATGAGCTGGGGGCTCTGAGGTGGCAGAGGCCTCGCCCTGTTGGGCTATTGATAGGAGTGTTCAATGTGATACTTAGGCCTTCCTGTCAAATCAGACCAGAGATCTTCATGTAAGGTCTGTAAATTGTAGATACAATTGTGTGTGTGTGTGTGTGTGTGTGGTGTGTATGCGCTCCCAAGAGAGCCCCTCAGACCAGAGTCCAGTGTGGTGCTGAACTCAGCTGTCAGACTTTAGGTGAGAGAAATTCTCTGTCATATGTCCCTGAGCCTGAGTGAGGCACTAATCAATATCCTGGCTTCCAGGACTGGCTCCAGACCACAGAACCAAAGCATAGGTAAGATGAGCCACAAGAGCCGACATAGTGGCTTTCTGGTGGTTCCTAGGCAGGTTCCAGAACTGCAGCTAGGACAAAGACCTGGTCTACAATGGGAAGGGCTCCAAATAAGCCCAGGATCAAGGGGCCATTTCTGATGGCGTATGTGTGGGGTTTCCAATATCCTCTCAGTGGATTCAATAGAATCCTTTCAGGTGATTCAATAGAAGGACTCAAAGGGCTATCAAAGAGTCAGATGCTTGATGACTAGCATGTATTATAGCACAGGCCACAAGGAAAAGTAGCACATAGAAAAAGCACCTTGGATAAAGTCCAGAGGAAACCAGGTGTAAACTTGTGAGAGTCCTCTCCCAGCAGTTACACAGGATGGACCTGACTCTTCCAGCAGATGGTGACAACAGGTGAGCATCAGTCACCAGGGGCACTTGTCTATTCAAATATGTTGTTTATTTATTGAACCAAGTGTTTTGTTTTAAATTTCAGTTCTTTGTAATGTGGATGTTCATCCTTGTTAGACAAATGGTTTGTAAATATTTTCTCCATTATGTGGGTCACGTTTTCACTCTGCTGATACTGTCTGTGTGTGTGTGTGTGTGTCTGAGAGAGAGAGAAAGAGAGAGAGAGAGAGTGTGTGTGTGTTTGCCAGTCCTGGGGCTTGAATTCAGGGCCTGGACACTGTCCCTGAGTTTCTTTTGCTCAAGTTAGCATTCTACCACTTGAGCCAGAGCACCACTTCCGGCTTTTTTCTGTGTATGTGGTACCAAGGAATGGAACTCAGAGCTTCATGCATGCCAGGCAAGCACTCTACCATTAAGCCACGTTCCCAGTGATGAAGTAAAATCTTTAATTTTCATGTAATCGGATTTGTTTAGTTGTTGTTGTGTCTGTGCCTTTGGGGCCTTGTTCTAGAAGTCATTGCTAAATCCAGTTTCATGGAGCTTTTGTTTCATTTTCTTCTAAGAGTTGGTTTTTTATTTGTGTTTGTTTATTTTTGGTTGTGGTGCTTGGAGCTTTGGGGCCTGGGCACTGTCCTTGATCTTTTTTGCTCAAGCCTAGTGCTCTACCACTTGAGCCACAGCTCCACTTTGGTTTTTTGGTGGTTAATTTTTTTTTTTCTTCCTGGGGCTTGAACTCAAGGCCTAGGCACTGTCCCTGAGCTTCTTTTTACTCGAGGCTAACACTACTACTTAAGCCACAGTGGCATTTGCAGCTTTTTCTGAGTAGTTTATTGGAGATAAAGAGTCTCACAGGGCTGGGAAGGTGGCTCAGTGGTAGAGCGCTTGCCTTGCATGCTCGAGGCCCTGGGTTCGATTCCTCAGCACCACATAAGCAAAAAGAAAAAAGCCGGAAGTGGCGCTGTGGCTCAAGTGGTAGAGCGCTAGCCTTGAGCTGAAGAGCTGAGGGACAGCGCTCAGGCCCAGAGTTCAGGCCCCACGACTGGACCCAAAAAAAAAAAAAAAAAAAGAGTCTCACAGACTTTCCTGCCCTGGCTGGCTTCAAACTATGATCCTCAGATCTTGGCCTCCTGAGTAGCTAGGATTACAGGCATGAGCCATCAGTGTCTGGCTGTAAGAGTTTCTCTCCTTTCTTTTTAGTCCATCTACTTAAAAGTTTGTCAATGTTGATCTTTTCAAAGAACCCAGCTTGGTTTTACTGATTTTTTTCTTTGAAACCTTTCTTTTCTAATGTAAGCATTTATAGTTATACATTTCCTCTTTACCAGTGATTTTTTTTTTCTTTCTGCATCTCAAAAGTTCTAGTATGCTGTAATTTTATTTTTATCTATCTCTATGCATTTTCTGCATTTCCTTGTGATTTCTTCTATGGTTCATTGGTTGTTTTAAGAATCTTTTGGAAGCCGGGTGCCAGTGGCTCACCCCTGTAATCCTAGCTACTCAGGAGGCTGAGATCTGAGGATCGGGGTTCAAAGCCAGCTCGGGCAAAAAAGTCCCTGAAACTCTCATCTCCAATAAACCACCAGAAAACCAGAAGTGGCACTGTAGCTCAAGTGGTGGAGCGCTAGCCTTGAGCTGAAGGGCAGCACTCAGGCCCAGAGTTCAAGCCCCATGACCGACAAAAAGAAAAAAAAAAGATTATTTTGGTTTATTTCAACAAAGATGTGAACTTTAAAAAATACCGTACAGAGGTATTACAGTTACTGAGCAAGGTAATGAGTACATTTCTTTTTTTTTTTTTTTTTTGGGTCCGGTCATGGGGCCTGAACTCTGGGCCTGGGCGCTGTCCCTCAGCTCTTCAGCTCAAGGCTAGCGCTCTACCACTTGAGCCACAGTGCTACTTCCGGCTTTTTTCTTTTTTTGCTTATGTGGTGCTGAGGAATCGAACCCAGGACCTCTGGCATGCAAGACATGCGCTCTACCACTGAGCTACCTTCCCAGCCCAAATGAGTACATTTCTTATCAAGCATTGTTGTCTCCTCCTTTGTTTCCCCTTCCCATCCTTTCCCATCTACCAAGCCCCCCTCCCCACATTCCCTCTCAGCGTCAAAGTTCTAAAGTTTGTTTTGCGACATAACATCTTGTACATCTCATTGTTGTAATGGGTCCACCTGTATCCCTAAAGATGTGAACTTTTACAATTTTACTTATGTTACTGATTTTAACTTCATCCCCTTTAATGATAATATATATATATATATATATATAGTACAAACTATATATATATATATATATATATATGTATATATATATATATATATATATATATATATATATATATAGTTTGTACTATGTACCTAAATCTATTGTCTAACATATGTCCTATCCTGGAAAGTGTTCCATGTACATTTGAGAAAAACATGTATGCTTGTTGAAAGGAGCATTCTCTGTAGCTCTTGTTGGTGTATTGTTTGTTTGTTTGTCGTGGGGCTTGAACTCTGGGCCTGGACACTGTCCCCCAGTTCTTTAGCTCAAGGCTAGCACTCCACCACCTGAGCCACAGAGCCACTTCTGGTTTTCTGGTGGTTAATTGGAGATAAGAGTCTCATGGACTTTCCTGCCTGGGCTGGCTTTGAACCATGATTCTTAGATCTCAGCTTCCTGAGTAACTAGGATTGCAGGAGTGAGCCACCGGTGCCTGGTATACACTTATACTTCTTAACCTGTCTTCAAAAGTTACATAGAGTTACAGTAGTGTATTAAATATTATGGATAAGGGGAAAAGTCTTGTATTTTTCTGTATGTATGTGTGTGTGTATATATATATATATGTATGTATGTATGTATGTATGTATATATATTCAGTTGTAAGCATCGAGTGCCTGGCCTCAATGAACTTCTTAAATGTTATTATTATTTATGTCTTTCATCCATTTTGGGATTTGTTCAGTCATGACTTCTCCAGAGAGTGTCTGCCCCTTTGTCTCTGGCTTCTTTTGGAAGGTCTGCAGCTTATATGTTGGTCTGCTAATGGTGTCCCTTTGGTCCTTTAGGCTTTGTTTTTCTGTTTTTCAACCTTATAATTTCCACTGTGTCGTCTTCAAGTTTACTTAATCTCTCTTTTGCCTGGTCAAATCTGCTTTTGAAACACTAGCAGTTTTTTCATGTCTTTTATTATATTTTTGGTTCCAGAATTTCTTTTTGGTTCTTTATTATTATTTTTTTTCAATTTGTGTATGCAAAATTTTTTTGTTGACTTTCTGTATATCTATAGCTTTCCTTAGTTTTGGGGTATCTTTAGGAGAATTGTTTTAAATTCTTTGTCTAATAAATATTATCAGATCTTTTTCAGAGATATGGTTTCTGTTTATTTTTATTTATTTTATTTTTATTTTTATTTTGGGCTTGAACTAAAGGCCTGGGCACTGTCCCTTAGCTTCATTTGTTTAAGGCTAGCACTCTACCACTTGAGCCACACTGCCACTTCTGGCTTTTTCTGTTTATGTGGTACTGAGGAATCAAACCCAGGGCTTCATGCGTGCTAGGCAAGCACTCTCCCACTAAGCTACATTCCCAGCCTATGGTTGCTGTTTACTTATTTTCTTGAATGGGTCATACTTTGCTGTTCCTTTTTATGTTTTATGAATTCCTGGTGTTCTTCTCCCCCCCCCCCCCCCCCCAAAAAAAAAGACTGAGCCAGTGGCATTTAATTAGTAGTAACTTTGGAAATCTGATTCTCCTCTTTACTTGGGGGCTTGCTGTTATTGATTTTATTTATTGTCTTCAGTTTTTGATTGTAGGCTGCCTTGGGGACAAGAGTCAGCTTGAGGTGTAAACATGAGGTCTTCTCAGATCTTTTCTAAATGTGTACATTTTCTTGAGCATATGAAGCTTCTAAGTTTCCCCAAATATATGGTTGCTTTTGAATATTCTACTTCTTAATTTATGAGTCCCAAAAGAGAAAAGTACAGGGAGGACGCTGGCCCCTGAACTCTTCTGGTAGTCAGGCTAGCTAGAAGGGAAGGGACTTTCCGTGAGAGCCGTGCAGCCACGATGGCTGTTTGCCTTTTAGCCTGCCACTCTGGGTCAGAGCAGCCATCAGCTCTCAGAGCACAGGTACTGGAGATTCAGAGAACAGACTCCATTGTTTTCCTCACCCGGTGTCCTACCAAAGTGCAGCTCACTTCAGGAATAAGTACACAGCTGTCTGTTGTAACCACAGTGGGTTACCCAGACTTGGGCATCCCTGGAACAAGGCTGTGGCAAAGGGCAATAGACTAGGGCCAGTTTTTGGCCTGGGCTTCTGCCCCAGTGTGGAGGGATTTCCCCATGCTCAAATGGACACCTTGGGCTGGGCCTGGAACGTAGCTCATGCAGTGGGAGTTAAGAGGTTCCTGAGGCCCCTAGAGTGGTCTTAGTGGTCACCAGTCATCAAGTTACATAGGGATGCTGGCCGGAGCTCTTACCTTCTCCCCTGTGTTGGTCAGCTAGGGTGACCCCTCATCATGTGTCCAGGCTCCACCAGCAGAGCCCACCAGTGCCCCTCCTGCGTCCATCCATTTACCCCCACAATTCTGCAAACACCTGACATACTCCAAATCCTGGGCAGCTTGAAAGAAGTGCCCAGAATAGTGCAGCAGCCTCTTCTCTGGCCACCTGCTAGGTCTCCCATGAGCTATTTTTCTTCATCTTAAGCCCAACATCAGTAGCTTTTGGGGGGTGGGGTGGGAGCTTCCCCCCAGGCAGGCAGGAGTATGGAATGTGAAAGTGTAGGTGGGGAACAGCAGGTGGCCGTGCAGTGCTCTGACTGCTTTGCTTCTCCTTGGAACCATCTAGTAAGTTCTCATTCATGGTGAGCCAGGCTGCCAACGGACCCGCAGGGGCAGGCTCAATAGGGACTTGGAGCTGTGGGCGGGGGCAAGCGCCCCCTGGTGCCCATCACCCAGATCCTCAGACTATGTGGCTTCGACAAGGTGACTGGTCCTCCCTTGCCAGAGGCAGATGACGTCTTCTCTTCTCCACAAACTGTCCAGACTGAAGTGGAAGGAAGCTGGCATGCTGTGGAAATCCCGGGGCGCTGTCCTCCAGCTCTTCTGTATCCACATGAGGAAAGTTTTGCTTCAACCAATGTCGTGAAGATGTTCCCTTACGCGACTTTTCCTTCCCATGTTGTATACTTAAGCGGGAAAACCCATGAGAATTTGTGTTCAGATTGGAGAGTAGTCTCTGTGGAGTGAAAACCAATTTGCTGGGGGAAAAAAAAACCCAACAGGTAATATCTCCTAAGCTCTGGTTTCCGTAGCTGGGGACTGAGGTCATCATTTCCCCTCCTTTGCATTTAATGTTGTGGCAGGTTAAGTGCGCAGAGGAAGGGCAGGCCCATAGTAAGTCTCATTCAGTATAGGCCTTACTTTTTTTTCCTTTAAGTTGAGGGGCATGTGGTGGAAGTATTGGGGTTTGAGTTCAGGGCCTTGTACTTGCCCTCTCCCACCTGAGCCATACCGCCAGCCATTTTTTGCTTTAGTTACTTTTCAGGTAGTGTTTTGCATTTTTGTCCCAGGCTGGCTTCAGATCAGGATCTCCAGCTGTGGTCTCAGTCAGAGCTGATACCGTAGGGTTGTACATCATCACCCTCATCTTTACTGGTTGAGATGGGTGTTTCCCTCATATTTTTTCTGAGACAAAAATCCTCAGTCCTCCTGATTTCTGACACCTGTACCCTCTCGGCCTTAGACCCTCATTCCTCTTTTTTTTTTTTTTTTTGCCAGTTCTGGGGCTTGAACTCAGGGCCTAGGCACTGTTTCTGAGCTTGTTTTGCTCATGGCTAGCACTCTACCACTTGAGCCATAGTGTCACTTCTAGCTTTTTCTGTGTGTGTGGTACTGAGGAATGGAACCCAGGGCTTCACGCATGCTAGGCAAGCACTCTACACGAAGGCACCTTCCCAGCCTGCTCATCCCTCTTGTTTGGCTCCTTTGAGTGGTTTTTATGACTATCAGGCTTTCTGGTCCAGAGTGGTGGCATTGTAGGTCATTTTCATTTTTTCTGCTCTTAGAATCCAGGATGCATAACCTCACTCACAAGCACAGGCCGTTGGGAGTTTCTCATAGAGGACAGGCTGTGTCGATTTTGGATGATTCTTTGTGTGGCCATCAGTGTCCCCGTGGAAGTGCAGTGGAGGAAAGGACTGTGAGGACTCCCCCGGCCCTTCCGTGCTGGGGTGCTGTCAGCTGAGAAGCCTCAGAGGAAGACAGGAAGGGAGGACAAAGCAGGGTCCCCTCAGGAGTGGGACGGGGGCCAGGCTGCAGGTGTGGAAGGAGAGTGACTGCCACATGCCAAGAAGAAGGGCCATGGGAGCCTTTGTTCCTTGGAGGAGTAATTGCCTTTGATGAGCTGTTAATAGGAATCATTATGTGGTTATTGAGAAGGGAATGTACGAGCCCAGCTCTGCTGATAGACTCACCCGTCTCTGGTGAGAATATTGCCTTTGCCTCTGAAGATACAGAGCCAGACCCTTTTCCTCCTCAGGAGCTCTCAGGAACAAGGCTGGGCTTCCACCTCTTAGCACAGCTATGAGAGCCAAGGAGCTCCTACGGTAGTGAATGAGATGACAAGGGAGAGGAGCAAGCCAAGGGAGAGCTGGGGGAGGGAGGGGACAGGTAGAGATGGAGGTCTGGAGAGAGATGGGACAGGAAAGAGAGAAGGGAGGCGAAGAAAGAGAGGGAGAGGGAAACGTATGCGAGAGAAAAGGGGAGGGGGAGAAAAGAAAAATGAAGAGGAAAGGAGAGAGGAAAAAAAAGGATTGAGGAAGGTAGGAGAGGAGAGGAAGAAGGAGGAGGTACGTGGAAATATAACTGGCTCTCAGGATCAATTCTAGGGCACAACCCAAAGAAGCACCTCATTCATAATGCTGGTTCTCAGGCCTATGCAGTCCTCCTGATTTAAATGTAGATTTAACAACACCCCTGAGTAATTACTGCTCTGCAGGGTTAAGTATGATAAGTGCTGGTTTGGTGCTCACCAAATCTAACAGTTGGGGCTTAGAGCAGGGCCTTCAGACCCCTCATGGTGATCTGCAGGTCTCTCCTGGATTTGCTCCGGTCCCAAGTCCCAGTTCTTCCCAAAGCCAGGGCCCCCTATACTTTGTCTAGCAGGGTGGCTATGTGCTATCAGTTGGAGGAGGCCAGGGGGCTTGTGGGAGGATGAATGAGAGCCAGGGGGACTGCTAAAGGCCTTGTTCATCTCTACTTTTCACAGAGTAATGCTGGCCAGAACAGTGACCTGCACTGGGTCTCAGAGGTCCAGCGAGTTAGACTAGGACCTGCTGACCCCTAGTCCTGTAGGCAAAGCCTAAAGTATCTGGAAATGCCAACCGTCTTAGCTGTGGAACCTCGCAAGTAGCTAGGATGTTGTATGTGGTTTGGCAATACCATTTTAGGGGAGGACCCTTGGGTGTGCAGTTGGTTACAAGGTTGACACAATATTGTACTTAGGAATCCATTCCTAAATATTCGCTCACACTCTATTCCTCAAGGTCTGAAAAACTAGAGTGCTCTCTGGCTGGAAGAGGAACTTGTTAGAGGATATTTTCCAGTTCCAGATTCTTCAGGAGGGAGAAGAGTCAGGCTTGGACATTGCAGTCAGGGTAGGGCTGGAAGTCAGGGATGCCCATCCCTCCACTCCTGCTGTCCTCTCAACCTTTTCCTGAAAATGCCTATTGACATCGGCTGCTTTAACTGTTTCTTTTCTACAAATGAAGGAGCCTCACATGCTTGAAATCTGTTGGTGGAGGTCATGTCACCTGTTCACACTCCAGCGGTGAAGGAGGCAGGGAA